TAGAGAAGTTCATTTGCATAATGGAGTCATTTCAAGGAAAAGACGAGAGCAAGTAAATTGTGGGCTTCATGCAACATGCCATCGTCTTGCTTTCAAAAGAGATGATGACACCGGGAACTTCCAAGCTAAAATGACAGGTCCACTGATAGTCACTCCGACGATAAAATTGTTCATTCAGACCCATCGCTTCTTAAGTAATTATAACATCCAGTGTAATGCCGAAATTCCCTCTGAATGACCAAATGTTAACTTTTGATCATGGCACAACATCTAAGTGTTCCATGGCTAAGACCTCAAAGGGCTTTACGTGGATGTAATATGGTAATGCCAAGAAGACCGTTGGCCTTTGTTTCACGAGACAGCGTGGAATTTTTTCAGTGCAGCAACTTTGCGTTTTCAGCATCTTACAAGTGGACAGAAGTCATTTACACTTCTTTTTTTTTTTTTGGCCGTTCTGTCTCTAAGGTGGATGCCAGACGGGAGTGGACAAAAGCCACTGGGACACTTTGTCACTTTGCTAGGGGCCTTCTCCGTTGTCCCAGTCAGCTGCCCCAGGCCTTTGAGTTTGTTTTCTTTACCGATATTTTCTTTAGTACATTAGCTGCATCTACTGCAGAGCTCAGCACTGAGCCCCTTTTTGGTTTGCCTACTTTATAAATTAACTTATTTTGTCTAAACTTTGAGGGAAATGATAATGTCTCTTCCGAGGAAGTCAAATGTCCTTTTTGACCCTTCAACCAGTTGCTGTCAAGTGGACCTTGACTCATGGTGACCCCGTGTGTGTCAGACTAGAACTGTGCTCCATAGCGTTTTCAATGGCTGATTTTTTCAGAAGCAGATTGCCAGGTCTTTCTTCAGAGGTGCCTCTGGGTGGACTTGAACTTTCAACCTTTCAGTCACCTTGGCTAGTAGTCAAGTACTTAACTGTTTGCACCATCTAGAGATTCCTAAAGCTGTTTTATAATCCCTAATAATTTTACAAGAAGCCCTGGTGGCGCACTGGTTAAGCACTTGGCTGCTAACAGAAAGGTCAGCAGTTTGAAACCACTAGCCACTCTGCAGGAGAAAGACGTGGCCGTCTGCTTCCGTAAAGATGCCAGCCTTGGAAACCCTATGGGGCAGCTCTGCTCTGCCCTACAGGGTCACTGTGAGTCAGAATTGACTCGATGGCAATGGGTTTGGTTTGGCTTTTATGATTTTACAGGTTGTTTCTGCTGCCCCTTACATAAACCTGGCTTCCTAAGCCATGATGAGCTCTTGGCTTTGGGGCATCGAAACGCTAAACACATCCTGACACGGAAGACCCTGTCTGTTCTGGGTTTGCATTCCCAGTGCTTTTTTCCTTTTCCAAGATGCTTTCATACTTGTTTAAATACAGTTTCTATTCCTTTGCGTGATTCCTCATCCTAATTGTAGCTCCTTTATTTGGTGTTGGTATTCCCTATCGGCAGTTCTCCTCTTTGCTCTGCTGCTGTGTGTGCCGTGTGTGTCTCAAGTCCCCGTTGAAGTCGGTCTGTTCTCCCCTCCGCTGTCTCCCCCTTCCTCCCCGTGGTTCTCCTGCACACCCACACCCAGCCTTGCTTCCGCCTCCCATCGCTGCCTTGGAGCCGTTTGCATGCTCACATGCCCGAGACTGCGCAGAGATCTCTCTTTAAACCTCCCCATACAGAAAATGGAGGAGCCCTGGTGGTGCAGTGGTTAAAGCACTCAGCTGCTAACCAAAAGGTCAGTGGTTCGAACCCACCAGCCACTCTGAGAGAAGAAGATGTGGCAATCTGCTTCCGTAATCGCCTTGGAAACCCAACGGGGCAGTCCGACTCTGTCCTGTAGGGTCACTGTGAGTCGGGATCAGTTGGATGGCAGTGGGGTCAGAGGGTACAAAGAAAGCACATTTATCAGTTACCGCATTTGAGTTGCAGCAGGGTATTGTCTGTTGTTAAAGTGACCACATTTCCCAGGAATAAATTGCTTTGTAGTAGTAAGGGTGACAGAATCCATGAAGCATCAGAATTGTCTCATTGTCAATGGCAGAGCAGTATCAATTTTGCCTACCCAGTTCAGAGAGCCTAGCGTCCAGTAGAAACTGCTGGGACATCCGTTGTCCTGGTCTTCTGGGGTAGGGAAGGAAGGAACAAAGCCATTTTCTGCCTTGTTTTATCAGCCCTTCAGTGCGTCACAGATCCATGTGAGCCTGGCTTTGCTTGGGCTGCGTGTTGACAAGTCTTGTGGCTCTTACCTGTTACCCCATGGTGCAAGGATAGCCAGCGCACCTGGCTGCCACCCCGCTCAGCTGTAGCTGCAATGCAGGGCTCAGTCATAGTCTCTCTGTTCCTGAGGCCCAGAGGGGGTCCAGCACATGTAAGGACTCCATAAACATCGGAGAACCAAGGGGAGAGTCCCAGCTTCACACTCAGTGCCACCCTTAATGGCTATGTGACTTTAAGCAACATACTTACCCTGCTGAGTTCCAGTTTTCTTGTCCATAAAATGGAGAATGAGACCTACCTCACAGGATCGCTGTAAGGAATAATGGATGAAGGTTCGGTGCTCTGCTCAAGGCCCCTTCTCCAAGAGGCTTCCCCTGATGAGCCTGCCTAAACCAGCAGCCCTCAGCCCCCTCGTTCCGTTCTCTCCTTTATAGCGCTCATCGCCACTGGACTTCAGAGGAACGTGCTCATGTTTGGTTTTCCTTGTAATTTGCAAGCCAGCAGGAGGTTTGTCCAGTTTGGCCAGCACTGCACCCTCAGTGCCTGGCAGATATAAATTCTTAATAAATGTGTGGTATATGATGGAAGTCTGCAACACACTGGATGGATGGGTGGATGGATGGGTGGATGGGTGCATGCATGGATGGATGGATGGATGGATGGATGGATGATGGATGGATGGATGATGGATGGATGGATGGATGATGGATGGATGATGGATGGATGGATGGGTGGTTGGGTGGGTAGGTGAGTGGTGGATACATGGATGAATGGGTGGAAGGATGGGTGGTTGAGTAGGTGGATGGATGGATGCATGGATGGATGGATGGGTGGGTAGGTGGTTACATGGATGAATGGATGGATGGATGGTTAAGTGGGTAGATGGATGGATGGATGGCTAGACGGGTGGATGGAAGGGTGGGTGGGTGAGTGGATGGAAGGGTGGGTGGGTGAGTGGATGGAAGGGTGGGTGGGTGAGTGGATGGAAGGGTGGGTGGGTGAGTGGATGGAGGGGAGTGAAGAAGGAAGGATAGATGGAAGAACGGATGAATGGATGGAAGGCTGAGAGACAAAACCAGACAGGCAAGCAAGAAATATGCAGTGTTCATGCAAATACACAGCTGTTGTGTTGTTAGTATTCTAGATTCCAGTTTTTCAAAATGGCTTTGATCAATTGGATCCAAGTACTTTGATAGAACTATCATCGAACAGGATTAATTTAAGTGTAAAGTACAGGTTTTATACTGATAGTCATCCTCCCCATCCCTCACCCTTCCAACAGGTAGTTGGAAAAGAGTAACAGGACAGAATATGGAAAAAAGGGCTCGGTAGTTGACGGAAGCTGAGTATGTCAGTGGGTAACCACATTGTAATGACAGAAAATCTGAATCCAGGGTGGAATAAAGGGAACGTGATGCTGAGAAGCTGGTGCATCACCTTTCACCGTGGTCCGGATTGTGTCCAGCTTGGGGTCGTGCCCCTTACAAAGGAGACTATAGGACGAATCTCTGAAATGGTTTCAAAAAATAGTGGGAAAGGGGTGGTGGTGGCTGGGGTGGCTTAATGCATTGAAGGTCAGTGGCTGAGCCCATGACTGTTCTCAAGTGTTGCAAGGTATTTTTTGATTTGGTTTATCTGCTTTTGCAATGAGATGCTTATCATGTCCGCTGGTAGCCAATGATGAGGAATCAGGCCCAGGGTAAAGAAAGACGGATGTTTTAGTAACAAGAACATCTTGTTTCCTGGGAGGAGGGGAGCCTTGCCCGTCGACAGATGGGTATCTTAAGAAGTTCATTGTCACCTTGGAAGACGTTGAGAGCAGAGAAGCGGGCGCAGAGCTGGGCTCCGAGGAGTCGGCATCCTGGCGGTTGGAGTAATATGAGAGAAGGTGCCCAAGCGGGACACCCGTGGGGTGGGAAGGCCGGCCGGGGTTGCGCCGCGGGGCACACACTTTATTCTCAAGACCAGGGACCGTTCTCCTAACTGTCCCAGGTAGCCTTCAACAGGAGTCGCTGTCACCGGGGGATCCAAGAGCTCCCCAAAGTGCTGGCAGGGCACACCCCAATGATGCTTACTTCCTCTGGCTGGAAGATGTACTGCCCTCTCTGTCGCCCCATCCCTCTCTGCTGTAGCCTGTCGTTTGGTGCAAAATGACCATCGGGTTTTATGCCTGCAAGAATGATTTCTGCCTTGCGAAAACAAGCACTCACTGAAACCATTGCTCACTCTTCTGGGGAACTTTATGAAACTGAACATGTTTTACACGATCCATCCCTGCATTGCTCGCTTGGTGTGTTCTGTCTCTCTCTCTGTCTCTCTCTCTGTGTCTCTGTCTCATTGCTGCCCGACATTAGCCCATTAGTCATCATTCCCCTTTGGAGCCTGCTTTAGCTTGCATTTTCTCACCAGAATTGTGTGGGATGTTGTTAAAGGAAGCAGGCTCCCCCTCCCCAGCAGCCAGCCCGCTAACTTCTTTCGGAGCTGGGTTGGATCTGGCCCCACAACCAGACCTCACCTCCCAAGAGGCTCCACAAGCAGTGGGCCCCAGAGAGGAGACCTAAGAAGGAGGGAGCCCTGACACGCTCGCTTTGCCGCGAGCTGAGCCAAGAGAGGCCGCTAGCCGCTGACACTCTAGGCTTCCAGCAGCCGGTTCACAGCCTGAGTCAGCCCCGATGCAGGCTCGGCCTCCCTGGGCTCAGAACACATCTCCTTAGCCTGAGAGGCCAGGACCGTCCGAAGAAAAATATTAAACACATTCGTGGAGATGAACGTGTTGCTTTGCTTCTGTTTCAGGTGCTAAACCTGCCCCCGGGATCTGCTTTGAGAGAGTCAACTCTGCAGGCGACCCCTATGGCAACTGCGGCAAGGATTCCAAAATCACCTTTGCCAAGTGCGCGATGAGGTAGGGGGCCTGTGCGCTCCGCTGATGTCGCCGCTTGGTGCTTCGCCCAGGCTTAGGGGTGGTTCCAGACCTTTCCTCTGTGAGGACCGTTTGTTCTTGCCCTTCCAGGGATGCTAAGTGTGGAAAAATCCAGTGCCAAGGAGGTGCCAGCCGACCCGTCATTGGTACCAATGCCGTTTCCATAGAGACCAATATCCCACTGCAGGAAGGAGGCCGGATTCTGTGCCGCGGGACTCACGTGTACTTGGGAGATGACATGCCCGACCCAGGGCTTGTGCTTGCCGGCACAAAATGTGCAGATGGAAAAGTAAGAGCCAGATATTTGCTTGCATCGTGGGTCTAAGTCTGGAAGGGAGCTCGTTGAGAAACGTGCTGTTTAAGGACTGGGCTCAGGGGTGTGTTGGTCTTCCCAAATCCACTTCTCGGAATGTTGTCTCTCAAATCCAGTCTGCTGCACCTAGAAGAGAAACTCAGAGGATCCTGCATCCTGGTCTGGCCGCTGAGACGCAGATTTGGGAAAACAGGGCTTGTCTTTTCTGCCCTTTCGTACTGAGAAGTCAGTTCTGCACTCTGATGTCGGTTTCCAGCCAGGAAATTGCGTTGGAGGGAACCGTGGTAGCATAGTATATTGTTTTTGGAACGGTGTCTTGGTTTCTGGCACAGAGTTCTTGGGGGCTTGTTCTCACCTGGACAGACTGGGAAGTCAAGTGTGTTTTCAGAGACCCCATAGGGAAAAGAACAGGAGAGGGGAAGGGTTAAGCCAAAAAAAAAAAAAAGTCTTTGGAAAAGTAGACTAAGGTTTTTGAACTTTAGAAATAAAATGTTAAAAAAGAAGCAAACTCAGATTTTCACATCCTACCAACCCGATTATTTTCCTCAAAACTTTCACACCTGACTCAATAATAGCAAGTTAATAAAGGGAGCACTGGTGGCTCAGTGGTTAAGCCCTCAGCTTTGGATAAAACCAAAAGGTTTTGGTTTCGCGAGGTGGGCGCTTTGAACCCACCATCCACTCTGCAGGAGAAAGTTGTGGCAGTCTGCTCCCGTAAAGATTAAACCAAAAAAACCCATTGCTGTCAGGTTGATCTCGACTCATAGCAACCCTATAGGACAGAGTAGAACTGCCTCATAGGGTTTCCAAGGGGTGGCTGGTGGATTTGAACTGCCGACCTTTGGGTTAGCAGCTAAGCTCTTAACCACTATACCAGCAGGGATTATAGCCTTGGAAACCCTATGAGGCAGTCCTCCTTTGTCCCGTAGGGTCACTGTGAGTTGGAATCGACTTGACGGCAGGGGATGGTTTTAGTAATAAAATGTTTTAGGAAAGAAGATGAATCAGCCCCACGTGCTTTTCCTAGGACCATATTTTCAGAATGACTGTGAAGTCATTCGCTACCATGGGGGTACAGAGGAAGCTCAGATACCGGTCAGTGTCCCTCAGCAGAGCCCGTGGGCAGGAGTTCCCTGCACCCACCCCAGCCCCACCCTGAGCACCCATGCTGTTCCGTGAGGAAATGGGACAGTGCGTGAAAAATGCTCTGCATCCTCCATGTCTCTAACCACGTTTGCTTATGTTCTGGCCTTGATGTTAGAACGATGCCCATTTTTTAAACTGTGGTCTGAGCAGCCCAGTCCAGGTGCGTCTGAACACTGAAGCTCCAAGGACTCAGTTTATCAGTGCTCCACGTGTGGGCGGGATTCGGTGTCCTTCTTTCTGCAGGGCTCCTGTCGGTTGAGGGCCGTGGTTAGCCTAGCCGTGGGCTCGGGAGGAGGGCAGCGTTTGTGCCCTATGATTGTGATGGGGGCCTACTGTGCTCACGGCTATCCTGGTCATCTTTGACTGCTGGAATGTGACAGTCCCCTTGGCCAGGAATGCCCTGGGCCCTGAGGCCTGCTTCTTCTTGTTGGGTGCCTTCAGGTCCATTCCAACTCATAGCAACCCCAGTGTGACAAAGTAGAACTGCCTCATAGGGTTTCCTAGGCTGCGATCTTTATGGGAGCATATTGCCAGGTCTTTCTCCCATAGAGTCGCTGGGTGGGTTCGAACCACCGACCTTTTGGTTGGCAGCGAGCGCTTAACCATTGCACCACCAGGGTTCCTTTAGGGCTGCTGAGACCACACTCTTTTTCAAAGGATGTTAGTCTCCCTGTATAGGAGCTGTAGGGGTCGGATGCGAACTTCCCCTAGGAAGGGTCTGCTTGATTCAGAGTACCTCTGCATTCTAAATGGAGACTTGTCTTCCTTGGACTCTGTTAATTTGTAACATCTTGTGGGAGATAAAGGGCCTGATCCCCTGAGTCTGGACTATATCATGCACCTTTGAAAGGAGGCGGAACACTTTCAGCCAGCACAGTGTCATTTAGCCAGTTACTGCCTGCAGAGTCCTGATCAGTACGAGGGAACTCTCTGGGCCTCTGCTGCCTAGTTCTGTTGATGGATTCTGTCGTCGGTGACATTACTCGTGAGTCAGTATTTTGAAAAAGTTCCTATATTTCAATATTTCCCTTAAGAGATTCTTGGGCCCTAGGTTCTTGGAGTCCCTGAGTTGTCACAAGCCCCACGGTACAGATTAGCCCAGCTTTCACCCAGCTTGCCCTCTTTTATATCTTTTGTCGTTGTTGTTGTTGGGTGCTGTCGAGGGACTTTGACTCATGGTGACCTTATTAGAACAGAACGAAACGTTGCCCAGTCCTGCACCATCCTCATGATCCGTCCAGCCTAGGGAGCTTGTCTTCCGGCACTGTATCAGATAGTATTCCATGGTGATCCATAAGCGTTTTGTTGGCTAATTTTTGGAAGTAGATTGCCTGGCCTTTCTTCCTAGTCTTAGTCTGGAAGCACCACTGAAACTCGTCTACCTTGATTGACCCCGCCAGTATTTGAAATACCAGTGGCCTAGCTTCCGCCAGCAGAGCAACACGCAAGCCACTGCAGCGTGACAAACTGACAGATGAGCAGTGGCTGTATCTTCTCATAGAGAAGAAATGCTGCAGTATGTACATTTCATTGCCAGCACTAAACAAAACTCATGAAAAAAAAATCATTTATCATAAGCTCAGGATTGAGTAGAACCATTAAAAAATGCCAGAAACAGAGAGGGTCAAGAGCTGGTTGAATAGACACAGGAAATCCGGGGTGGAAAGGAGGAATGTGCTGTCACAGTATAGGGAGAGCAATTAAGGTCACATAACAGTGGATGTATAAATTTTCGTATGAGAGACTAACTTGAATTATAAACTTTCACTTAAAGTACAACAGTAAAAAAAAATTTAGATTATACCCCCCCAAAAAAGGCAAAAAGTATAAAAGAATTCAGTAATGTCCACCACTGAGCTGAGCCTTGAAACCCGCCGAGATTGGAGTCGGGCATTGGAAAGGGCCGTGGTTGGGTCTAACGGGAAATGCATCATTATGTCGCATCCACATTAAATGAAAGAAGACAGACTCCTCCCCAAGCTCTCCTCGCTTCCTCCTTTTTAGATATATGCGTGTTTGTGATCACAGAAGCACCCAGAGATTTGCTATGTTTTCCTCACTCTGCAGATCTGCCTCAACCGCCAATGTCAAAATATCAGTGTCTTTGGTGTCCACGACTGTGCAGCCCAGTGCCACGGCAGAGGGGTAAGTAAGCCGAGCTGCCTCTCTCCTGCCAGTCACAAGTGAAGTAAGAAATGACTCATTTGTAAGGGTTTCTGCGATCCATGATTTTTTTTTAAATAGAGCAGTCAGTGTCTCCTCAATATATTTTCTTCTAAAGATATTAATTTTCTTAGACCTTTACATAGCATTAGAAAAGTGATTTTTATTTAACAAAGAAAATCAGATTGAGCAGTAATTGTCTTTCAAATTAACCTTTTGTGATTTAAAAAAAAAGAATTGTCATTTTCAAAGTAATTTTAAAACTAACTTTCTTTCGCGAAGGTTTCCCATTAACATTTCGAACAGAGCTATCTCTCTCTGCGATCCAGTGTCAGAATGCATGTCCAAACTGAAATGCTTCCAGAAGGAATTAAAACAAAGGCAGGCCACGCCGACCACATGTTTTTGAAATCATTTACAATGGGTTTCAACTAAAGAAAGCAGTTATTTTAGTTCAGAGAACCTTTGGGGAAAAGAAGACTCTAATTATTTAAAACATACTTTATTTTTCCTGATGGGCTTAATTATTTCCAATGGAATCATATTAATCTTGATTAGCCACGCTCGTGGTTCATTTGTTTCTCTGAAGCCTTTGCTACAGAAATCATGCTCTAAATGCTATTTTTAAAACTTGCAGACACTCACCTGTGACTCTAACCTAGAATGATGGGGGTTTCATAAAATTATCGTTGTGCCGTAAACGGAAGGGATGGCAGTGCCACCTCCGATGGGTTTGACGACTGTGCATTTGGCTCTTTTGGGGATCCTCACTGGATCATTGCGTTCTTTGCAATGGCTGTAAGAGATGGTCTAGTCCGGCCCTATTATTTTAGTGGTGGAGAAACCAAGGTTCAAGGTTATATGACTGGGTAGCAGATTGGCTGGGTCTCGGGGCGTAGACTCCTTGCTTTCCAGTATCCCCGGGACCTCATCCCCATGGAGGAAAGAGGAAAGCCCACGTTTTTCTGGGTGGTTTGAGCAGCAGGCCACGGCCTGGCCATAGTACTCCACGAATGAGACCACGTCACCAGCAGCTTCCCGAGCTGAGGTGTTAGGACAATGTGGTATCACCCCACCCCAACAGGAGTCCTAGGGGCTGGTACATCAGGGGCACCATCTTGAAGGAGACAGGCAAGACACTCAGATTCGGCATAGGCTGTGCCCCGTGGTAATTAATCCTGCTTTATTTCAGCTTCATAGGAATTTACTTTCCTACTTATCACCGACTACCTTGACAGTCAGCCTTCTCCTCTGAAGCCGTTGGTGCAGAGGTGGATGTTCATCAGAAAAGTCAGCGAAAGCAGAGAATCATTGCAAATGAGACACACAGACTCCAGACCTTTCGTTTTGCCTTGAAGTAGATAAATGTACATGTGACACCTACATTGTGATGCAGCGTTGAGGCCTTTGAGCTTGGTC